AGAGTGTTCTGGATCCTCCATATCTTATGAACAATTGGTATGGTCAGCCTTTTTAATTTTGACCTTTCAGATAAGTGTATAGTGGCATTTCATTGCGGTTTTAATTTGCTTTGCCATAATGACTTGATGTTGAGTATCTTATTTGTTGTCTTCCTTGGTGCACTATCTTTTAAAATCTTTTACCTGTTCCATTAGGTTGTTTGTTTTCATATCAAACTTGAGTTATTTCTATAGTCTACATAAAAATACCCTTTTTGACTATTATTTACTGTGATTTTTCTTTTCATTCTTGTGATGGTGTCTTTGGAAGAACACAAGTTTTTAAGTTTCACAAAAATCCAATTTATCAATTTATTCTTTGTGAATCATGGTTTTTGGTGGTGTATCTTAAGAATTCTTTGCCAAGCCCAATGTCACAGATATTTTTCCCTATTTTCTTCCAGAAGTTTTACACTTTTATGTTTTACATTCAGGTCTGTGATCTGTTTTTAGTTCACTTTTGTTCATCAACATATGGATTCTTTTTTTTTTTGCGTATGGACATCCCAGTTGTTCTCACATCATTTTGTAAAAAACTGTCCTTTCCTCACTCTATTGCCTTTGCACACTGATGAAAGGAAGTTGTCCATATATGTATGGATCTACTTCTGATTATGTGTTCCATTGATTGGTGTGTGTTGACATCAATACTAAACTTGCTGATTACTGTGTCTTCATAATAAGTCTTATTATTAAGTAGTGTTGTCCTCCTACTGTGGTCTTCTTTTCAAAGTTGTTTTGTCTATTCTAGGTTCTTTGCATGTCCCTCTCAATTTCAGGATCAGCTTGTCGATTTCATCATCAACAAAAAGTCTACTGCGATTTTTATTAGAATTACATTTAAATTATAGATCGATTTAGCAATAATTATTGATAATCTTAACAATACCAACTTTTTCATTCCATGAACATGATGTACCTCTCCATTTATTTAGATCTTTAACTTTTCTCAGCAGTTTTGTAGTTTTTAGTTTACAAGTCTTATACTGCAGTTTTGTGGGTTTTAGTGTACAAGTCTTACACTTCTTTTGTGAGATTCATACGTCAATTTTTTGGATTTTTGATGCTACTGTAAATTGTATTTTTAAAATTTGAATTCCTGAGTGTTCTCTAATATTTACATATTGGTCATGTATGCTTCAATCTTGCTATACTCAATTATTATTTTCTAGTAGCTGTTTTGTCAATTACATTTGACTTTCTACACCTATGATAAGTAATCTGTGATTAAAGAGATTTTTGTTTCTTAATTTCTCTCCTGCATGCTTTTGTTTTCTTGCTTTATTGCACAGCCTAGAACCTGTAGTCCAATGTTAAGTAGAAGTGGTGAGGGCATGGCTTTGAATGTGGTAAGCATTCATTCTCTCACCATTAGATACGATGTTAGCTGTGGGGTTTTGGCAGATGGTCTTTATCAGGTTGAGTTCTTTTTTCGTCATTTGTTGTGTGTTTTTATCAGGGATGCATTTTGTTAAATGCTGTTTTGTTTTCTGGGTTTGTTTTTCTTGTTTTTTTTTTTTTTTTAAAGATTTTATTTTTTCCTTTTTCTCCCCAAAGCCTCCCAGTACATAGTTGTATATTCTTAGTTGTGGGTCCTTCTAATTATGGTATGTGGGACGCTGCCTCAGCGTGGTTTGATGAGCGGTGCCATGTCTGCGCCCAGGATTTGAACCAACGAAACACTGGGCCGCCTGCAGCGGAGCGCACAAACTCAACCACTCAGCCACGGGGCCAGCCCCCTGGGTTTGGTTTTTTTTTTTTTTTGCGTCTTTAGACTTGATCGATCTGGGGGGGGTTTCCTTTTATTTTGTTAATGTAGTGACGTATATTGATTGAATTTTCAAATATTAAACCAATATCATATTCCTTGGATTGGTCATTGCTATGCTATGAATATTTGTGTCCCTGTCAACATATGATGAAATCCTTACCCCCAAAGATGATGGCGTTAGGAGGTGGGGCCTTTGGGAGATGCTTAGACCTTGAGGGTAGAGCCCATATGAGTGGGATGAGTGTTCTTATAAAGAGACCCACAGAGATACCCCTCCCCTTCCACCATGTGAGGACCGAGTGAGAAGGCACTGGCTGTGACCCAGGAAGAGGGCCCTCACCAGAATGTGACTGTGCCTAGTGTCTTGATCTGGGACTTCCCAGCCTCCAGAACTGTGAGAAATAAATTTCTGTTGTCTATAAGCTACCCAGTCTTTTGGATTTTGCCGTAATAACTTGAATAGATTCAGACAGGCATGGTGTATTATCTTTTTTAATGTATTGATGGATTCTGTTTGCTAAGATATTGTTCAGTATTTTGCATATATGTCTACAAGGTTTTGTAGTGTGAATTTCCACTTCTTGTATTGTTTTGTTGTTTTTTGGTATCAGAGTAACTGGCTACATAGAGTGATTCAGTCATCATCAATTTTCTGGAAAAGTTTGTTTAAAATTGGTACTACTTCTTCATGAAATATCTGGAACAACTCACCAGTGAAGCTACCTACCCTTGGGATTTTGATTTTCTTTGTGGGAAGGTTTTCCACTACCAGTTTAAATGGCTTACTCGGTATAGTGTTGTCACACTGATTTATACCTTCTCATGCATGTGTCGTCGTTGGTAAGGCTGGGTGTTGTACTGATCCATATGCAAATACAAATTAGGGAATTTCCTTCTCTGGCTGTTTCCATACCAGGATTCCTCCCTCACTTTCCCGTTTGGCAGTGCTCCCTCCATTGTTCTGGTAGCCAGAATTATATTGGAGTTTCTGTTGGAAGTTTTGTAGCCCATGCTTGCCTCACCATAACTGGGACCTACCCTTGAGGCAAGGACATGAGAGTGAGTAAAGAAGCAAGAAACTCAGCTCAGTCTGGGTTGCTCGGAAATGTTTTGACTTCTTTCCAAAACCCTCCTGCTTTTATTTTGCTGTCCTTATGGGGTTAATTTTTGTATCTTGTCAAGTGTTTATGGTTGAAATCAGTGGAGGGGTGGAGGGGTGGAGGGGTGGAGGGGTGGGGGGTGGGGGGCGGCCAGTCTAGGCTGGAGGGACTTAATGCCACCATGCTGGAACTAGACCTCCTTCAATTAAGGAGTTATTTAATGATTAAAAGTAGCTTTTTTTCTCTTGCACCCTTGCTCATTCCTTGCTTTTCATTGCCTGGTTTATATGTATCATGATAATTTTTATGCTACTGTTTTTGCAGTTTTGGTTGGTCATAGCTCTCTGAATCTTTGAAGTCTTCCTCTTTTTGGAATATGATTTCTAGGCCTACTTTTCCCACTCACTTTCTAAATTTTCCCTTTGTCCAACTATTCTGTGCCTATATTTTAGCTGTGGATGTTGAGAAATTACCATATAGATGTTAAAGTGTGTTTACTACAGCTGTCTTTTCTGGAAGCTTTTTTCTGCCATCCGGCTGGTTTAGGCTTCTCTTCTGTGGTCAATTTTGATAAATTTTTTTAGAAAGTTGTCCATTCTTTCAAAAGTGTTCACGTAGTACTCTTGTAATTTAAATAAATTCCTCTGTGCTTCTTATTTTCCCCTTTTCATTTCTTGTTTTTGTTTTTACTCTCTTTTTTGGTTGGTTTACCTAATATTTCGTGTAACAGTTTTTTAAAGCTCTAGCTCTTTGATTGATTTGTTAATGCTACTGTCTTCTCACTCATTATATTCTGCTTTTATCTTGATTTCTCTGGTTTCCTCTACTGTGTTGTTTATTTTCTACCTATTGGGCTTTGATCCTTAACTCATTTTTTTTTAATAGGGAAAGTTTAAGTTTGGAGTTCTCTGAGTGGTGAAATTGTGTGCCCAAGATTCTAGTGTGGGCTTATTTTCTATATAGTCGTCTACTAGAATTCTTCCATTTCAGTTTTCTCTTTCCATAGCAATCCAGCATTTTTGGAGAGGGCTGTACCTTCCTGCATGGGAGGACTTTTGGTTTTCTAATATTTGTTATTGATTTCTATTGTTACTCTGTTTTGAATAGTGTTGTTAAGATTGTTTCTGCTTTTTGTACACATACCTGTATCTAGTCACAAGAAGATATTTTTTTGCCCCCAAGTCATAGCCTCCTCATTAAGCACTTTCAATTTTGCTCAAGATTTCACTGCATATGGACTTTTATCCTTCAATTCACAACTGCCAATTGTTTTTCATATAATTCTTGGCACTTTCCTCTAGACTCAGTTGTATAATTCAGGTTCCCTCTTTTGTGCCAAGTTCCTAAATGTTCAAAATACCGTAAGACATAGTATGTGTCAGAAAATTGATTAACATACTTTGCTTAGGCTTAGTAAAATGGTTGGCCTTGGTTAAAAGGGAAAGCAAGAGAGGGAGCTGAGAAAAGATATAAGAAATAAGACAGATTGAACAGCTGTCCAGTAGTAAATAATAAAATCTTATAAGAGGATAACTAAGTAAAGATTCTCAGTATCTTAATTGTTACAAAGAGCGAAGCAGAGCACAGATGGCTGTGCATAGGAGGGAGTGAACCACAGTGATGGAAATGTGTATTTTTGAGGGAACTGTGCTTGAAGAATGATCATGTATAAATAATTCCCTTTTTAAATGTAATATGTGTATATATTTTAGATGGAAGTGGTATTTTACAGCTGGCTGGTATTGGCTCTCTAAGGACAGTGTTATACATATCCTAAGTCTGAGTACATTCATCGTATGTTGATAGCTTGAAGTTGCCTGTGGTGGGAGTATTTACACTGTAGACATTGGCAAACACTACAGATCAGGGCTGGAGGTGTTTTGTGTGTGTCTCTAGAGCTGGTTGTTAAACGTTTACCAGCGCTCTACTGCAGAATCTTATTTTCTGAACTTTCCTTTTATGTTTTCAAGTTTTATAACTGTATATTAGAGTTCTTTAAATCATCTTTAATGGATGAGATTTTCAATTTTGTCTTAATTATAGGACATTTTCTGATCAATAAAACAATTTGTTTTTCGTTTTTGTTTTAGATTTGGAATCAAGATATGAAATAATCAGCTCTGGAAAAATGTACATTTATACAAAACATTCATCTCTTACTCTACAGCACAGAATTAATAATGGAGAGAAACCCTATGAATGTAAAGAATGTGGGAAGACCTTTAGGCGTCCTACAGACCTTAGAGTACATCACATAATCCATACTGGTGAGAAACCATATGAATGTAAGGAATGTGGCAAGGCCTTTAGTCGTCTTACAGATCTCAGAGTACATCAGAGAATTCATACTGGTGAGAAACCCTATGAATGTGAAGAATGTGGGAAGGCCTTTAGTCGTGCCTCAAACCTTGCTCAACATGGAAGAGTTCACACTGGTGAGAAATCCTATGTATGTCAGAAATGTGGGAAGGCCTTTAGTGATGTTGGAACACTTAGAATACATCAGAGAATTCATACTGGTGAGAAACCCTATGAATGTAAGGAATGTGGGAAGGCCTTTAGTCAAGCCTCCAATCTTATACAACATGACAGAATTCACACTGGTGAAAAACCCTATGAATGTAAAGATTGTGGGAAGGCCTTTAGTCATGCCTCACATCTTGTTAGACATGAGAGAATTCACACTGGTGAGAAACCCTATGCATGTGAAGAATGTGGGAAGGCTTTTAGGAGTAGCCATCAACTTACTATACATCATAGATTTCATAGTGGTGAGAAACCCTATGAATGTAAGGAATGCGGGAAGGCCTTTAGTGTGTATGGACGGCTTACTCGGCATCAGAGTATTCATAGTGGTAAGAAACCCTTTGAATGTAACAAATGCGGGAAGTCCTTTAGACTCAGTTCAAGCCTCAAAGTACATCGGAGTATTCATACTGGTGAGAAGCCCTTTGAGTGTAACAGATGTGGGAAGTCCTTTAGGCTTAGTTCAATGCTTAAAGTACATCACAGAATTCATACAGGAGAGAGACTTTATGGAATATATGTATAGTAGACACTGGAATTATACCACTGAGAAACAATTTAAATGAAGAGGATGTGAGAAGACTTTTTCAGGAGGGCTCATAAGGCATCAAATAATTTATACACTCATGAAGTCCTTGGAATTTAAATAGTGTTTAAAGTTTTTCAGTTATGACCCAAATATTGTTCACATTCAGAGAATTTGTGTTGTATTTTATAGGAAAGTCTTTTATGGCATTCCTGTTGTTTCACTTTTGACTGAGCATCCAGGCTGTGGGGCCAAGGTCACAAGGCAGATAAGTACCACTCAAGAAAGAGACCAGTGCATCATTTGAGGTCATGGAGAACAGAAAACGTACACACCAGATCAAGTGGTATAAAGTTTACTTACAGCAAAAGAGGAGATGGAATGCACAAGATCTAACTGATTGCAGTGTGTCGGTAACCTGTGGCCAGCAAGTCAACTCCACATCTGACAGGGCTGATGAGCTGCACACAACCCACTTTGTGCTGCAGGGGCAAGACACCAACCCTTCCCTGTGAGGTCTGACATCCAGAAAACTGGGTGCATGTCTGATTGATGGCCATTGAGACCTGTGATTAACCAGAACAAAGGAGTAAACATTAAGTCTGACACAGGGAAAGGTATTCCCACACAAGGCAATAAACCCATCAGAGGCTGTAAGGGCTCTTTGTCTTTTGGTAGAGAGGTGTTGCTGGGCCAACAAGGCCTATTCTTTTTCTTTCCCCCAGCTTTAGTGAGGTATAATTGACGAAATTATAAATGTAAGGTGTGCAAGTGGTGCTAAGGGGGAAATTTATAGCTATAAATGCTTATATTAAAAAAAAAACAAGGGGCTGGCCCGGTGGTGCAGTGCTTAAATTTGCACATTCTGCTTCGGCAGCCTGGTGTTCGCTGGTTCAGATCCCAGGTGCGGACCTGCACACCACTGCTGTGGCAGGCGTCCCACATAGAAAGTAGAGGAAGATGGGCACAGATGTTAGCTCAGGGCCAGTCTTCCTCAGCAAAAAGAGGAGGATTGGCAGCAGATGTTAGCTCAGGGCTGATCTTCCTAAAAAAAAACAAGAAAGATCTCAAATCACCCACCTAACTTTACAACTTAAGGATCTAGAGAAAAAACAAGTAAATTCAAAGCTAACAGAATGAAGGAAATAATAAAGATTAGAGCAGTAATAAATGAAATAGAGAAAATCATGAAACCAAAAGTTGGTTTTCCACAAAGACCAACAAAATTGACAAGCCTTTAGCTAGATGGACTAAGAAAAAAAAAGGAGACTCAAATTACAAATTCACAAGTGAAAGTGGAGACATTATTACAAATTCTACAGAAATAAATGGATTCTAAGAGAGAACTTTAAACAATTTTATGCCAGATAATATGATAACCTAGATGAAATGGACGAATTCCTAGAAACATAAATCCTACCAAGACTTAATAATGAAGAAATAAGAGATCTGAGTAGAGTAGTACATAGTCTGTAAAAAGTAAAGACATTGGCTCAGTAATAAGAAATCTCTCAACAGAGAAAAGCCCTGGACCTGATGGCTTCACTGTTGAATTCTACCAAACATTTAAAGAAGAACCAATACTAATCCCTCTCAAACTTTTCCAAACAATTGAAGAGGAGGAAATACTTCCTGACTCATTCTAGGAGTCCAGTAACACGTGTTACCAAAGCAAGTCAAAGACACCACAGGAAAGAAAACTGCAGAACAGTATTCCTTATGAACATTGATGCAAAAATACTAGCAAACAGAGTTCAGCAGCATATTAAAAGGATTGTACACCATCACCGAATGAAATTTATTTCTGGAATGCTAGGATAGTTCTGCATGTGAAAATTGACCAACGTAATATGTCACATCAACAAAATGAAGGAAAACAACCACATGATCATCTCAATTGATGCAGAAAAAGCATTTAACAAAATTCAGCATCCTTTCATGAGAAAAACACACACGAAACAGAAAGAAACTATCTCCATGTAATAAAAGTTACATATGAAAAACGCACAGCAAACCAAATACTTGATGGTGAAAGACAAAGTTTTTCATCTAAAATTGGAAAGAAGGGAAGGATGCCCACTTTCACCACTTCTGTTTAACATTGTGCTGGAATTTCTAGCCAGATCAAAGGCAAGGGAAAGAAGTCAAAGGCATCCACATTAGAAAGGAAAAAGTAAAATTATCTCATTGCAGGTGATATAATGATATGTGTTGAAAATCCTGAGGACTCCATAGAAAAGCTGTTAGATTTAATAAATGAATTCAACAGAGTAGCAGGATACAAAGTCAACACAGAAATATCACTTACATTTCTATACACTAACAACAGTATGAAAAGGATATTTCAAAAACAGTTCCATTTACAACAGCATCAGAAAGAATGAAATACTGGGGCTGGCCTGGTGGTGCAGCAGATAAGTTCGTGCACACTGCCTTGGCGGCCTAGGGTTCGCTGTTTTGGATCCTGGCCACAACCTACATACTGCTTACCAAGCCATGCTGTGGTAGGCGTCCCACATAGAAAATAGAGGAAGATGAGCACAGATGTTAGCTCAGGGCCAATCTTCCTCAGTCAAAAAAAAAGAGATTGGCAGCTCAGAGCTAGTCTTCCTGAAAAAAAAAAAGAATGAAATACTTAGGAATTAACCAAGGAGGTCAGAGATTTGGACAATGAAAACTATAAAACATTGCTGAAGGAAACTAAAGAAGACATAAATAAATGGAAACACATCCTGTGTTCATGGATACAAGTCTTAATGTTGTTAAAATATCAGTCTTACCCAAAGAAATATACAGATTCAATACAAGTCCTATCAAAATCCCAATGATATACTTTTTTTGCAGGCATACAAAACCTATCCTAAAATTCATTTGGAATCTCAAGGGAGCTCAAATTGCCAAAACAATCTTGAAAAAGAACAAAATCGGTGGACTCTCAATTCCTGGTTTCAAAACTTAACACAAAACTATAATAATCAGAGTAGTGTGGTCTTGGCACAAAGACAGACATGTATAGACCAACAGAATAGAATAAAGAGCCCAGAAATAAACCTTCACGTATATAGTCAAGTGATTTTTGACAAGGCTGCCAAAACCATTCAGGGGGAAAGGACAGTCCTTGCAAAATATTGTGCTGTGACAACTGGATATGCACATGTAAAAGAATGAAGTTGGACTCTTCTCTAACACCGTACAAAAATTGTGTCAATGGATCAAGGACCTAAATGTTAAGACCTAAAACAGTAAAACTATTAGAGTAAAGCATAGGACAAAAGGTTCATGATGTAGGATTTGGCAATGATTTCTTGGATGTGACACCAAAGGCGCAGGTAACAAAAGAAAAAATAGACCAATTGCACTTCATAAAAATTAAATTTTGTGTATCAGAAGACATTATCCTTCTGAAATACCACCATTGAAGGTAATGCAATATCCTTTTCAACATGTCGTTTTTGCAAATCACTTTCCTATAGCTACACATCTTCATTAGAAGTGAATGTGTGGGTCATTGTTGCCTAAAAGATAAAAGACACTATCCATGGAGTAAAAAGGCACCCCAAAGCATGAGAGAAAATATTTGCAAATCATATCTGATAAGCAATTAATATCCAGAATATAGAGAAACTTTAAAAAGTCAACAACAGGGGCTGGCCCCGTGGCCGAGTGGTTACGTTCGCGTGCTCCGCTGCAGGCGGCCCAGTGTTTCGTCGGTTCGAATCCTGGGTGCGGACATGGCACTGCTCATCAGACCACGCTGAGGCAGCGTCCCACATGCCACAACTAGAGGAACCCACAACGAAGAATACACAACTATGTACCGGGGGCTTTGGGGAGAAAAAGGAAAAAATAAAATCTTTAAAAAATAAAAAAAAAAAAATTAAAAAAAAAAGTCAACAACAAAGAAACCACCCAACTCAAAAATTGGCAAAGGACTTGAATAGACATTTCTCTGAAGAAAAATATATGATTGTACAATGAGTACATGAAAAGATGCTTACTATCACTAATCATTAAGGCAATGCAAGTCAAAACTACAGTGAGATACCATCTCATACCCATTAGGATGGCTACTATATTAAAAAGAGAAGAACAAGTGTTGGTGAGGATGTAGAGAAATTAGAACCCTTCTGCATTGTTGGTGGGAATGTAAAATGGTACAGCTGTTGTGGAAAACAGTATGGACGTTCCTCAAAAGATGAAAAATAGAATTACATATGATCCAGCAATTCCACTGGTGGGTATATACCCCCCAAAATTGAAATTGGGGTCTCAAAGAGATAGTTCCATACCCACGTTCGTAGCAGCATATTTCACAATAACTGAAAGATGGAAGAAACCCAACTGTCCCTCATTGGATGAATGGATAAGCCAAATGTGATATTTACATAAAGTGGACTACTCTTCAGCCTTAAAAAGGAAGGAAATTCTGCACTATGCTACAACCTGGGTAAACCTTGAGGACATAGTAAATGAAATAAGCTGTCACAGAAGGCAAATATTCTGTGATTCCACTTACATGAGGTACTTAGAGTGGGCAAACTCATGACTAGAACTTGTAATGGTGGCTATCAGTGGCTAGAGGGAGGGGGCGATGGGATGTTATTTCACTGTTTCATAGTTTCACTGTTACAAAATGAAGAGTTATGAGGATGATGGTGGTGATGGCTGCACAACAGTGTCAGTGAATTTAATACCACTGAACTGTATACTTAAAAATGGTTCAGATGGGAAGTTTTATGTTGTGTGTATTTAAAACAGCAACAACAACAGAATAGCACAGACTAGGTAGCTTAAACAGCAGAAATTGATTTTCTCATAGTTCTGGAGACCAGAAAATCAAGATGTCAGCAGGTTTAGCTGCTTCTGAGGCCTCTCTCCTTGGCTTGCAGATGGCTGCCTTCTTGTTCCGTCCTCACATGGCCTTTTCTCTGTGCCTGTGCATCTCTGGTGTCTCTCTATGTCCTTATAGGGGAGTTAGTGAGATTGGATTAGGGCTCGT